TGCTTGAAAGCTGCACAGCAGAAAGGAACCTGGGGATGCTGGTCACCAGCCAGCTCAGCATGAGCCAGTGTGTGCCCAGGTGGCCAAGAGGGCCAGTGGCATCCTGGCCTGTGTCAGCAATAGTGTGGCCCACAGGATCAGGGCAGTGTTTTTCACCCTTTTAGCACTGCTGAGGCCATGCATTGCGTGTTCTGTCCAGTTCTGTGCCCCACACTTCAAAAAAGATACTGAGGTGCTGGAGGGTATCCGGAGAAGGGAAAAAGGGTTGGGAAGGGTCTGGACCATGTCCTGTGAGGAATGGCTGAGGGAGCTGGGTTTGTGTAGGCTTGAGAGGAGGAGGCTCAAGAGGGAACCTCATTGCTGTCTCCAACTACCTGAAAGGAGGGTGTAATGAGGAGGGGACTGGTCTCTTCTGCTGTGCCTGCAGTGAGAGGAACAGAGGAAATGGCCTTAAGTTGAGACAAAAGAGTTTCAGATTAGATGTTAGAATTTTTTTTTTCCCACTGTTAGGGTGGTCAGACATGGAATATATGGCCCAAGGAGGTGGTAGAGTCACCATCTCACAGGTGTTCAGGAGGTGTCTGGATCTGGTGCTGGGTAATGTGGTWTAGGGGTTGAAGTGGTAGTGCTGCCTTGACAGTTGATGGGATGATCATAAAGCTCTCTTTCAACTTCGACGATTTTGTGATTCTGTACAGTAACGTACAGGTAAAAAGAAATGTGTAATAGACATTCAAAACACAGGAGCTGACGTTATCTCCAGTTACTGAATTGATTGATAAAACACAGAGGCATTAGAGCAGTGGTCTGTTGACCATGGCCAGTCTTCAGGATTAATTGTCAGCCAGCAGGCACTCGCCACTGGGCATTGAATTGTAAATGTCCCATGACCAGTTTGGTTCTTTACAGTGGCATCTGCAGGTGGTGGCCAGTACCTGTTTGAAGGAGACACAAGCTGCTTTATTCTGGAATGCTGCATATCCTTCCCTAGTGCCAAGCTATCTGATGCTTTCATGTTTATAAGAAAGCCATCAGACAGGAGAACATCCCGGGTTACAGGCTGCACGGTGCCTTAGCTGCAGTTTGCTCTTTGTGCATCCTGCCTGGATCTCTGGCACGCCGTGCTGCTTCCATCTGTGCCAGGGGAGCAGGCTCAGTGGAGAAGTTGTTGAGGGTTGCATTTCACTTCCAGCTGGTGTTCATGGAGGTTGAGGTGCTTCATCAGCAAATCTTTCATTTGAACTCTGCGTGACTTGGGGCCTGTCCTACCTCCAGGATGGATTTTGTTTTCTAAAGAATGTGTTCCAGTTCAGTCAGAAGTCATGGCTGTCGTGCAGGAATCTTGTAATGAAATTCTTTGGCCTTTTGCGAGTATTCGACTAGATTACATAATAGTTGTTCTAGTTTCATAATCTATGAATCTCTACATACGTACATCATTCTGCTTTCTTGAAAAGGCAGTGGAAGCTGCTTTTCTTCTGCAGTATCTTCAATTCATAATTGCACCTTGCACTCCATCATTACTGACTTGATACTAAAAATGAGCAAAGTGTAGTTGATTGAAGATAAAGCCCAGAAAGAGCAACTAAGATAATTGCTTGCAAACAGAATGCTGAAGTTATTGGTTAGCTTGCCATATTTTTAGTTTACATCCACCTCCCTGAGTCAGCAGAACTGTGGGAGAACAGACTAAACTTTTTTCATATTGGCATTAATATTGGAACTGTTTGTGAAAAGTTTACCAGGAGACAACCACCAGTAACATTCAATTACAACTTAAATGCTCATAAATTCTCCTGTTTGGGTCAAGGTTACTGAAATTTCATTGACCTTTCTGATGGTGAAATCTTAGATGACAATACAACTTTATCAAGAGGAGGAAAGAAGGTAGTGTAGTTGCATGAATWAAAAAAAAAAAAAAAGAAAAAAAGAAAATGCAGTAGCTCCTTCCATTAGCTGTCTCCTCTGGGCTACTGTCTCACTAGATAGATCTGTGAGTTACAAAGACATTGCTGGTGCAAATGGAACTGTGAGGTGCTTGCTGGAAACCCCCATTATCTATCTTCCATCTTTTAATGTCCTGAAGTTTACTGAACATCACTCAGTTCTTTTGCAAATTTCCTAAAAAGCAAGTAAAACRTTATTTAAACTTCTTATAGAATGAACAGCTTCTAATATGCAGCTCTTACTTGGTATGAGTTACTCCCATAGCTTTTTTTTACTGAATGCTCTGTCTTAATTTGGAGGAAATAGGACTCTTATTGCAAGAGCTTTTTATCATCTTCAGAAGTAAATATCATTAACAAGTGCTAATATTACAATGACTTCCATATGTGACATGTAATAAGCTTTCTCTCACATTACTGCAGGATGGTACAGGTCTCAGGAGCTTACCTTGGTCCAAAATACAAAGCTAATTTCACTTGCTTGACTAATTGCAAAATGTAAATGCCTAGAATATAAGGAAGGCAGAGATGAAGGGAAAAATCCATCAGAGAAAGTCAGAAATACAAAGTCTTTGTCTAAACATCTGATTATTGGCAAAACTAAGCAAAGTTTCAAAAGTACTTTACTGGATTAACCAAAATGAAAAAGCTGCTATATAAATGACTTGCTGTCTTCTCACAATTCTAGTTATTACTGTCAAGAAACTGGAAAGAATATGAGCAATTATATACAAAATGAAAAGATTTGATAAATTGTTTCTGGGTTTTAATAATTTCTTGAAATATTTTATCTTATGGGCTTATATATAAACCAAATGGTCTCATTTTACTCATGTTTTTGTTACTCTTAGCAACAATTTTTCTAAGACAGATAAAATATTAGTGAGTAGTCATTTGGAAGTATTGCTTTGGAAGTAGATTTCCTTTGATCTGTCAGCACATGCATAGTGTTTATGCATTTCTCTGTATGGCTTTGACAAGATATGGCTGATTTTAATCTATTATATTTGATGTATTTTCATATCCAGTAACTGAGAGGTCAGAGAGTAATGGGAATATTGACAGGTCTGGTTCTCAGCCCTGATCTGTAAAATGAGCTTTAATGATGAACATCTATAAAAGCTGGACCGATGGGAAGCTAATAGAGGTTGTTYTCCATTGAGCAGAGACTGAAAGAAAAATCTCAGTGTTGCAAAGGTGGTTACATGGATGAAAAGCACCACAGTGTTTGCCTGGGGGGAAAAAGAGATGTCTTCCTGCAAACCAGGCCTATTTTCTTCAAATAACCTCCAAGGAAACAACCTCTGCCAAGCTAGGAACTGATTACCAGTTGCAGGCCTCAGACCATAGSCATTATTGTTTTAACATTTCTGCCTTCCTCTTTATCTCAGCAGGAGCCAGGCTGTATGGGCTGCTGTGTAACTTGACCTTGCTTGGAGATAAAAAGACAGATTAGCACCCAGCAATAGCAAAACCAGAAGCAAAAAGACAGTATTTAGAAAATAAAGGAAAGAGCTGGCACTGTATGATTATGTGCAATGTTCTACACTGTGCAGCGTGGGTGGCCTGATGAACAGTTCCCATCCATGAAACCCTGACAGAAAGTTGGGCTTGGTCATAGTTTCTCTGTTTTTAACCTTGTCTGTGTAGAGATGCTGTGATTTTCATTATGAAGATGCTAACGTTGATGATTTCCTTTAATGTTTGAGAGTATGGGGGGAAAAAGGAAAGAGAAACAGAAGGAAAAAAGGAAACCTACATAAAATTGCATTGCTTTCAGTAAACAAAATGAATGCAGTCCTCTGAGCTTTTCATGCAACAAAACAGTGAGCCCAGAGATCAACAGCAATTAGTTATGACATGTCCTAAAGTGTCACAGGGATGCTAAAGAATGCCAAATGCTCAGTGATTAATCATTTAGCATCAAAAATCTGAAAAAAACCAAAAAAACATTGTAAAGGCAAAAAGATATTCTATTATAATCAACCATGGGTACTCAAACTGATGTGACAACTGTACATCAAATGGTCACTGTCAACACCCAACCAAGCCACAGCTCCACAGCCATGAGTTCCCAGTTAAATCATTGTGGAGGCAAAGGGACAGATTTYCTTTGGCTATTCTCAACCATCACTTCATCTCAAAAACAAAGCAAACCAAAACTCAGCTATGTTTTCATAAAGAYTTCAAGCCAAAAGCTGCATAAGCGTGGTTTTTTTTTCATATGAGACCATATGGCAGATAATAAATATCTGAGGGTCTGAGGGCTGATAACTTCCTACATAGGCATGGGCAGAAAACACAATTTCAGAAATCAAGTTTCCTGACAGATAATGCCACGTTAGTCTTCACACATCCTCACTCTGTCTCATACATCTTTAGGTTATAAGCTCCTCAAAGCAAGTACCCTTGTGGTGCTCTGAKCACAGTTAGAGTATTTTAGTACTATTACAGAATGTGTCAGACCAGAAAGGAGTTGCAGCTCAGTCAGCTCTCCTTAAATGGTTCTTAAGGTTGCATTCTTGTCTTTATTTTGAATGGCTCCTCAAAATTATAGGAGAGTCTGATTAAAACCACAACAAAACAACTTCTTGTTATCTGTACTGATGCCAGTGGCAGGAAAGGGTGCGTGTTAAGATGTGGCTCATTTGCAGCTTTCTGAGTCCTAGTTAGTTTTCCCAGCTGTTATTTATAGGTAAYAGAATACATTTTTCATCTTGGGCCTTTGGAATCACTGAGACCAAATGAAGGGTTAAGCTGCTCACACACATCTAACCTGACTTTGTTCTGCAAACAGAAAAATTGTGTGCCTTCACCCACCTCAAAGATGACCAAGCTTCTCTAACAGACAAAAATTAAGTTACGTGACGCATTTATTTTCCTCCCATTCTACCTTGTGTGAATTGTGCTCAGGGGTGACCAAAAAGCAAGAATCCCCAGAGAGCAAACCAGCATGAAATCTGATTACAGCATTCTGCCTCGTTGAAATATTTTTCAATAACTACTTGGTAGTAAAACTAAATTGACTTTCTTTGTTTTTTTTCCTCCTTCCAGACTCTGACAGCACCTGCTCCATTTGCAGATGAAACAAGCTGTCAGTGCCAAGCCCCCCATGAGAAGTTAACCATTGCACAAGCCCGCCTAGGAACACCAGGTATGTGGAGAGAGGCACAAGTAAGCATTGCAGACATCAGTTAATGTTTATTTGTGCCTTCTACTCTAAAGCAAAAGCCTGATGTCTGGTGCTCTCGGGTAATGGAGAAGAAACCAGCAGCTACAGAGCCATTATGTTCTGTTAGAGAAACAAGAGAAAACATTTCAAGTTAGAGTTTGATGTTTTTGTAGATGTTGTTGGAAGGAAGGCTTGCCAGCCCACTCCAGGCAGCCTGAAAACTGTGTTATGTAGTAGCTGCCTTCTGGATTCTCTTCTCATACTGCCTCTGTGTGCTGGAAAACTCTTCTTTTATGTTGGTCGCTTCAAACCTTCAGTGACCTTAAAGRTTATTTCCCAGTTTCTTGATCTGGGCATCTGATCAGGATGATTTCACATAAAGTCTTAAATGTATCCTTCAGCCCCCCCCTATATTTGAAGAGGTTATTTTGAAAAAGCCTTTGTTTACTTATTTTACTTATTTAAAATAAGCCTTTAAAGTATATACACATTACAAGAGCAAGCTGCAGCTTTCCAGTCAGCTCWGCAAGGAACAGTGTTCTTCTGTGGACCCTTGGATGTCCTGACTGCAGAGATATCTCTCTGCTGTCTCTGAAACAGTCCATGGAGGTTGGAGCTCTATTGTTTTCATYTCCACTGTGCTTTTGCTAAGATGGCAAAGCATGTCATTTGAGAAGGGAAGTGCTTTCTCAGTCTGGAGGCTGCTGCTTAAGGTGCTGYACAGAAAGAGTTATAAAGGGGATAGCAAGAGAAAAAGAAGTTACAGGCTCATTAGAGAGAAGAACTTGGGGAARGTCTGGAAAAAGTGAAGTGAAAGGTTTACATAGAGGACATAGGCAAGACGTTTTTACAGCAGTAAGCTGTGGAAAAAAGCAAGTCAAGGCAAGAGGGGAGGGAAAGGGAGATGATGGGAAAAAATCCATAAGGCATAACTGATTAGAAAGGCAGAGAGAAAAGAACAAGACATATGGTGGAACTCTGAATGAGGCAGGAAGATGACATTTTTGCTAAATTAGAATATGGGGATGATAATGAATAGGGTAAGTCTGAGAGAAAACAGCAGAGAATACAAAGAACAAGTAATGTGCAGTATAAAACACTGCAGGTTCACCTGTGGTGCTTTTGAATATCAGAACTGGAGTAAATCTCTGCAATCATCTGACCTGGGAACAAAAAGCCATCCGGTAGAATTAAGTGCAACTGGTTTGKGGTCTGAAAAATCATTGTTGTGTTTCTTTCTCCACAGCTGACAGACCTGTCAGAGTGTATGCAGATGGGATATTTGACCTCTTCCACGCCGGCCATGCTAGAGCTCTTATGCAAGCCAAAACTCTATTCCCAAATAGCTACTTATTAGTAGGAGGTAAGATCAGAGTTATTTATTGCACTGGATTTTTGCTTCTGTGCTTCAATATCAGAGTTATTGCTGTGCTCCCACCCCCAGCTGTTTATACACTATGACTTGAATGCTACTTTCACTCTGGGGCTTTCTATAGGTGATTTGCCTTGAATTACATCTTACAATTGCATCAATTAAAGTAAAAGTCAAATTCTGCTCTCAGCAGCACAGGCACAATTCCCATTCTAGTTAAAGCAGGTGCCTGCGTGGCTCTGAGCTTAAAATAGGTCCATATGAATAATTTACCTTTTTCAGTTATTTGCTCAAAATTGTTCAAAGATGGAGWTGAGTGAATGAGAACAACCATTACTTATTTGTGGCTCATTGGTCCCTTTGCCAGCCAGGCACAGCCCATGACCTCTGCCTRCCAGGTCCAGACCCAGCCTCCAGCATCATCACAGAAGCTAAGTGTGGCCTGTTGTCATTGAAGACCCAAATGTAGGTCATGACTGGAATGTAATTTCAGTTCACAAGTGTCCCCAGGCAGGTTACTTTCTTAATTCTTTTWTTCTTGCTATGAATATCTTCTTTTCTTGCTGTATGCCTGGCTAACAGCTGCTCAGCAGTTGGCCTGTGCCTGAGGAGTCACTGGAGGGTGGCTCTTTCCTGCCTAGATGGTTGTGCAAGCCCTACTCTCATGAAGCCTCATMAATGTGCAGTTTGGTTTCAGCTTCCCTGCACTGAGATACTCCTTGCAGAARCATTTCACAGCAACCTTCATTCAGCTAGTCAAATGCTTTACAATGAACATGAAWGCAGCCTTCAGACACTATAAGGTGCATAATTTTGCATATTTATCCCAAACAGTTGAAAAGGCTGGGGGGGAAGACCCAACAGAGAGGAAAAACAAAATCTCCTTACCAAACACTTTTTTTGGTTTTACTCAAGTTTATGGATTGTGGCAATTCCCATGGAGYTTCCTGTGAGGTAAAGGACAAGTCCCTTTGTTGGGAAGGAAACATTAAGGATTCTCTTGTTTTCCTGCTAAGCCAGACAGCTTGCAGATGAAGCAAGTGAAGGTGCAAGACTGTGAGGTTTAAAAAAAATGCAAGAGATGTCCATTTTATTGTTGCTTTTAAAGGATTAGGGGTTGCCCCAGATAAGGGAAGSAACTTTGGGTCAAAAGCCTGGCTCCTTTGAAATTCATGGCATAGCTTCACTTTGCCCTTATTTTTGGAGTGAARGACAAAACAGCCAGCACTTATCAGCACCTTTTCCCAGCAAGGCACTGTGTGTTAGCATGTTTAAAAAATGGGCACCTTCCCACACCCACATACAATTTGTGCTGCAAAAGCACTGGTGTCATATGTCTTTGTGGGCAYCACAACCAACCCCCTTCTATTTCTTGTTGTGAAGACAATTATTTGGACCTAAGATCACTTTATTTTTAAAATAAGACATTTATRCCTTCCCAAATCAATCATTAGAGCAGGATGACAGATTCAAAAGATGTAYGAAGGATACTGTGTCTGCACTGTACATGAACAAATAGTAATCAGAAAATAAAATCAAACCTTTCTTCAGAATTCAAGSAAAAATTACGATTTTCTAATTCTGGTTAACCTTCCAGGAGAGGGTAGCCTAAAGATGCTGTAAARGCTGTAAAAAAATATAAATACAGTCCCTGAAGGGATCTTTGTACTGAAAACACTTTGATCACTGTTAAATTTCTTGTCAGCAGGCATCAAAACGGACATAATAGGATAGAGTAGCATTTTTGCTGAAATTCATACATATGCTATTATCTGGCTTTGAATTTTGCACAAGCTTCAGGGCTATCTGCATTTTTCCTACTTTACAATTCCTTAATGACCATCACAGCAAGAACATCCATTTCAGATTTTAAAGACTGCATYTTTGCCAGTGCCTTGCCTGATGGGTTGAGGTTTTCAAATAAAAAAGAGGCAGCAGCTGTAGGTCTGCTCTCASACTTCACTGCAGCACTACTAATGTTGCATTTATCATTTATCAAGTACATTTACAGGCAAGTGAGGTCTAAAGACACAGGTTTGACCTGTGGTGAAGGACAACCACTGGCAACCTAGCTATAAATGGRTATCACATTATTCTATGTGGGGTATCAAATGACTGTTGTAGCTATAATGTTGGACAAGAGACAGTTGTGGAGAAGGTCACTGGTTTTTACATAACATTATGTGGGTAGAAAGATAATACCTAACTTTTACAGTCCTCTAGTAATGTGGGTGTTGATTTCTTTTTAAAACAATGTGACAAAGTATTAAATATGCAGGATTTCTGGACCTTTAACTCTGCTCATTTCACTGGAGCATATGGCTGCTCCCAGTCCTTTCYTTGTGGTTTCCTTCTGAAATTTAAAGCCTTACTTCTGTTTCTGTAAAACCTGCTGAACTCAAAGCTAAGCTCAAAGACAGATTCCTGTAAAGTTCTCCATGACTTGTTTTCCATAAGGGTTCATTTAGTGAGAAACTGTCCCACTCTGATTTTGAGCTTTGTTGGCAAATTCACCTTTTAGAGTATTGTTTACATAAAAATAAAAAGCAGGAAGGAGGAGGCCCAGAGAAGCTGAGGTCTTTCCATCTTCAGAAATTCAAYTGGACATGGCTCTGAGTAACCTGTAGTTAACTCTGTCAAGAGTAGGGGGTTTGGATTAGGTGATGTCCAGTGGTCTTCCTGYCTTGACCATTTTGTGATACAAAGCATTGGCCATCAACCCTTGAAATACCACAGCCCATGATATCCCCACTTGGAGTGAGATTGGTTTACCTTGGCGTGTGAAAGATAACCCCTGAGATGTTCTGTAATATTCTAGAGCCTCTGCTGCAGCTCCAGAAAGAGAAGGTTCTCTCACAATTATTCAGTTGTATCTGCCAACCCCAAGCAGAACTTTTAGATGCCCTGGAACACCCCCAGAATTGCTAAGCTAATAATTAAGTGCTTGGTGGATTTATCTAGGAATAATCAACTCCTGGTTATGCTGATTTTACTGAATGTGGAGCCATTTTGCTCATTCTTCTATATTTTAGTTTGCAGTGATGATTTAACTCATAAATTCAAAGGCTTCACTGTGATGAATGAAACGGAGCGATATGAAGCCCTCAGACACTGTCGTTATGTGGATGAGGTCATCAGAGATGCACCGTGGACACTGACACCTGAATTTCTTGAAAAACATAAGGTACATTTCTTTCTTTATCTCTCCCTTCTCCTTTRCAGACTGATAGTTGAGAATAAGCAAGTCTTGAATTCTATTTGATGGAGCAAATTATTTAATTCAGTTAATTCCAGTCCTTGAAATTAGGTACATAGCATTCCTTGCCTCCATCTCTGTCAGAAAACATTATCTTTGCCTTTTTTTCTCAATATGCTGAGTTGATTTCTGTACTGGGATTTTTGCAGGTAACACTGAAGAATTACTGATAAATTGACTTTCAGAAAAGGAGATGGTGAACCAGGAAAGTTGTCACATAGTGATTGAAGTCCTGAATTAAAGACATRTTTCTTATTAATGGCAACAGGTGCAATATGTAAAAATATCACGTGTCCTCTAAAAGGCAGGATAGTGYTATATGTGCTATTGATTGCCTTGCAACATATATGAATCTTAACAAAAGCATAATTAACTAGGCTGTATTTTAGTGTCCACATCACTGGGTGACARAATGACAGCCTGCCAGTACTAGGTATACATGTATGTGTGCATACCCCTAAAAATCCAAAATTATCYTGCCTTCGTGGTTTTGAAAGTCAAGGCTTCACCTTGCTTTTGCCATAGGAGTAAAAGCAGGAGCATGTGTCTTAGGTATTGCACAGCATATCACACCAAGACAGTCAGAATGATGTAGTAGTGGCAGTGATTTTGGAGAGAAGACTTCTGTTTTTTCATAACTGATCATACAACACAGTAGTTGCAGGCCAAAATCTAGTACAATATTCTAAGTAATGGCTTTAGGATGAGAATATCAAAAAGCAAGGTAGCTGAAGAAAAGAGATCATTCTCCACAACAATTCCACCAGTGAACCAAAATTTGGTGATGGTGGGATGTGATTCTTCTCCTGTTCACTGGCAGATTGACTTCGTAGCACATGATGACATCCCGTACTCTTCCGCTGGATCGGATGATGTATACAAGCACATAAAGGAGGCAGGTAAGGGMAACTTTACATTTTTAGCACCTTACTTTTCAGCCTCAGCTCAAATTGTTTTACTGTCTTTTAACCACAGCTGCWGGGAGAAAAGCAGTAGAGATGATATCACATTGTCTTACACCCTAATGGTAGGTACTGCTGATTTGAGCAGAGACATTCACTTTGTAAAACCACAGAAGATGTCCTTGGCTGTATTCCTGCTATAACCCTAAGGAAACCATTCAGATCTAGCATGAAATAGTCCCATTTGGGYTTTTAAAACTATTTTATGGTGCTTGACTATGACTTCTGAATGGATGAAATTTGCTTCAGCTCCCACAGTGGCCCAGCCAACGTTAAGTCAGTTTTTGAAAAGTGAAAACTGATTGCTCCTTGACACATCCCAGTCCTGAATATGGGCAAGCATGGGCAACCTTCAGGAGCCACTAGGATCTGCTTGCACTGAGGGTTGTTTTCATTACACTGGCAGARGGTTTAAATCACTAGCAGAGTAATTAATTTGCCATTATTATTTAGCAGTTTGGTTGACTACCATATTACACTGAACATGAAGATGCTGAATTCATTAGGAGTTTGTATCTCTTCAGTTCAAGGAAGATGAATGTAATTTGRRGAGATAACATTAAGCYACTGTTTGCCAAAAATAGCTATCCYAAGACAGTGAACAATGCAAAAGGAGGAACAAATCCCACCCTTCTGCTCCCTTGAGATGCTGCTTTGAACCCTGGTAAATCCAGCCTCTTTCTGTTCTGCATAAACATGTATGTTGGAAGCTTGAAAAAAATCCAGAGCAATTTGCCTGATGKTAATATGTCATGCAAAGTGACCTTCCCAAGCTATACAGTGACAGCTAGAGACCAGGTATTGACCTGAGCTGAAGGAATAAGCTTTTTATAGGAGCAGTTCTTGATCTTTTTCCACTTTTGAACCTCCCTGTGGAATCAGACTTACAACCCTCCTCTCGGAACAACAGTTCTATAGTTTCAGAGCCAACACCAGCTTCCTTCAGTAGGCAGTGAAAAAAAGGAATTCTGGTAGGAATGGGTCACCAAGGGACATGCAGCACACATGCTGGACAGGCAGCTTTTATTCTGTAAGGTACCAAGTGCACAGGACAGCATGACAGGAGCTCTTGGTGTCACTGGATCATTACCAGACTGAGAGTGCCCAAACCTTGCACACCCTTCCCTCCTGTCACTGGGCACAGTCATRGTAYGTGYRTGACCCAATGAMAAACTTAAACTTTGCCAAGGAGAGYACAGACTTGCAGCTTCAGGGACTTGTGGTCTGTTTTGTGTCTGTCACCACGAGATACCAGAGAAGCATCTTGAGTCTTGTATGGCTGAATTTTGCTAAGTGTAAACTGGAAATAATGTTATTTGTGTTGAGTTTTGAGATACAGTGCTGTAATAGTCCCTAATGCTCTGAGCCCTAATGCCCTCACCTACAGTTCCACTTTCAGCTTAATAAAGGTGGAGTTTGGATTTTGTTCATGTATTCATTCTCATGTATTCTCCTATCTATAAAGGTTTCAAAGTGGGTTTCACTGCTTCTAAAAATAGTTTCCTGAGTGACTGCTGCAGGCCTGAAAAGTAGKGATCAGGGAAACATGTCTGCTCATGATTAAAGTAATCTATTTTTTTAGTAGAGTATTAATTAGAGATCAGAAAGAAAAAAAATAACACATAGCATTTAGTCACAAGAGGCTGCTAAGCTTCTTGATTCCTTCTCAGGAATTTTTCTAACCCTGTAAAATTAGCTACCAATGCCTGCTTACTTCAAGTGAACATGTGAGGATTAATTTGCCAGTAGCTATAACACTTTTTTAAGACAAAGTGCTGKTTTTTTYCCYCCAAAYYATCACCAGTCTTTTCTCTSTSTCTCTCTCTCTCTGTCTCTCTCTCTCATCAGCAGCTTCATGTTGCAATTACCTATGAGTGATAGTTGTAATTTTTTTGCAGCCCTAAATAACTACTAAACCTAGTTTGCCASCACTCTTCTGCTACTGCATTTGTGACTTGCATTAGCAGTTCAGGTGCTCCTGTCTTGGTGAGGAGCAATTAGAAAGCCATATATTTCTCAGTTGTGTTGAGGAAAATACAAGCAGTCTTGATAAATGGCCAGTTTTCTTGGGGGGATTTGTCAGGGTAGGGAGGGTGGTTATGCAGCCACTGACATGACTGGGTGGACATGAAACACTACCATTACACTTCATGTTCCTGTTACAAGTTACTGGCACCTCCAGGGTGTTTTGTAGTTACTTTACTGGCACCTCCAGGGTGTTTTTTAGTTACTGTAATGCATCTTTTTCCTGGCTTTTGGTCAAGGCCAGAGGCTGGTCTGTTCTACTCAGCAGCACAAAGACTGTCAGATGGTGCAGCACAGGAGTGAAAATAAAGGAGAGCAGCAAATCTCCCTGCTCTATTATATAACATTAAATAAGGGCTGTGCTTATGGAAGGAATTGCTCAGTGAATTGCCACAGCTGTGAAGTTTGGMCTTCCTTGGAGCCCCTGCCAGTCTAATTACTTCCACATCACACTGACACTGTACAGAGGTCAAATAAAGACTTGAGAAAAAATGAATAGTAGAGCAACCTTACCTTCCCCAGAGTGACACAGAAACAACAGGAGAGAACTGGGAATAAGGCAGAATTGCTTTTGGTCAGGCATTTCTATGTTCATCCTCAGCTATCTRCTGCACTACCTGCTCCTGCCAAGCTTTATCAGCAGGCTTTCTTTTCCCCCTTTTCCCAGGAATGTTTGTACCCACGCAGAGAACTGAAGGTATCTCCACATCAGATATCATCACACGGATTGTCCGCGACTACGACGTGTAYGCCCGGCGCAACCTCCAGCGAGGATACACCGCCAAAGAGCTGAATGTCAGCTTTATAAATGTGAGTACATTGACCTGCATTTGCTCCTCAAACGCTCTCTCTTGGCATCCTGAGTGTAAAGGAAAGGTTAAGAAGTTTTATCTTCCTTCTGCTGCTTTTAAAATAGCTGGGAAGAAGKCAATTTAAAAGAAACTGGTAAGCTGAGGGTAGTTTTAATTGCTCCTATTAATTAGCACATTTATTTCCATCTTATGCTTTTAACAAAACTGCTGCTTCCCCTTCCTCCTTGAGCTGTAGGTGACAATGAGACATTGGGAAGGAGCCCACCCCTTTCACCAGAGGCTGCTGAACCACTCACCTAATGCACCATTTCTTTCTTTATTTCTGTTCCAAGAAGGCAGCCTAGAGAGCAAGGATTTTGAGTTCCAAAGTTTCTCTACAATGTGATAGGATAAAAAAAACAAAACCAAACCAAACCCCCCAAAAAACCCTAACAAAATCAATCACAGAGCAGTCAGATTACTAGAGAAAACTAGAATGGTTTTCAAAGACAAGTATGTTAGGGAGCTGATACACAAAGGATGCTGCTGTAGAGCTCAGAAGCCACAATGGCAAGAGCACCATGTGAAAGGATGGCTCAAATTAATCTTCCATATAAAGAACTGCCCCTCCAATGAGAAGTAAACACTTTACAGAAATTAGACTTTACCTTCTTTCATTTTCTGTTTCAAAGTCTTGACTTAAGATCACCCACAAAACTGAAATYTCCCCTTGTGACTGAGACAGCTCACAGCTGAACTTCCCTCCTCTYTCCCTGGAGCTGGGAAACCCTCTTGTGAAGGACTGAATTGTGTCATTTCATTAGTGTTTAATTTATATCTTTCTTATTTTGAAGTGTGGCAGATAAACCCCAGATCACAGTCACTATGCATTTTTTAAAGTCTTCTACACCTTTAAAAAAATCTTGCTTGTAAGTACTGCATCCAGAAGGACAATTATTGCAAATATCCATTAAAGTTAGGCATGCTGGATGCCTTGGAGGTCTCGAATTTATCCTTTAGCAGCTGTGAGGTTAAGATACTCTTAAATAAGTTATGCTTCCCCCCATCTCAGACATTCATATATCCTGAAGACCTTCCTGGCATTTGTTGTTCAGCTTACAGTGATTTAAATGCAGAGATACTAATTTGCACCAGAGACTGTTTGTGTTTCAAAGTTAAATCCCCAGGATTTCACAAGGCAGAAGAGCCCTGGTTTCCTCATTTAAAAAAGGGCTGATCACCTTTTAAGTGCAGAGTAAGTTGGGTTTCTTTGGACTTTGAGGATTTTATTTGTGCTCGTGGCCTGCAAAGACTGTTCTTTTACTCACTTGTGGGCTAGAATAAACCCCATTTCAGTGATGGTTTCTCAAGTAAATTCAAGTGGCCATTATATGGAGCTAACAGAATTAAAAGCCAGTAGTGATCTATGCTTCTACACAGACCACCACATCTTGAAGAGCACAGCCTTGCTTCTCTGCTTGTACCAAAAATTTAYAGAGCACACAAGCATTTCAAGAAAAAAACCCTTTAATCCTGAAGTATTTCAGAAGCTTTTKCCAGGAGCTCCCTAATATTATTTTCTCTGTCTCTCTTTTTCTGTGTGACTTAGCAATTTGAAGTTGCTCTCTTTTCTATGAAGTTTGCTGGACACAAGCCTCTGGCCTATACACATCTGTTTTGCAGCCAGAAACTCCTGTATTAGCCAAGCTCAGAGTTGAAGAGAGTTTTTCCTTCTCACAAAAATCCCCCCAAAGAGGCATTTTGGTCCAARTTAACAGCAGCATTTGATCAGAAATGTGGCAAGATTTGCCTTTTGCCTACTGTTAAGTTTGAGTTGTTAATTGTTCACTCATATCCTTCACATGATTTATATAATTTTCAAAGTGCATTTAATTTGAAAATACAGGACGATTCAAGTAGTGGATTAAAAATAGTAATCACACCAGAAATCTTTTCAATGTGTGCCTTCTGCACTTCATTCCACAAATGTTAAACTTGCATTTATAAAAATAACGTGGGAATAGTTAACCAAGGCCATATGTATTAGGATGCATTAATGCAGTTTTTTCTTCTTCTTCTCAACTGTCTGAGGCTGATTATTTCCAAGTTTTTTAGTAATCTCTGACCACACTTTTAAAACAGGAAAAGAAATACCGCTTTCAAAACCAAGTGGACAAAATGAAAGAAAAAGTCAAGAATGTGGAGGAAAAGTCAAAAGAATTTGTTTACAAGGTGGAAGAGAAGAGTCATGACCTCATTCAGAAATGGGAAGAAAAGTCCAGAGAATTTATTGGCAACTTTTTAGAGCTGTTTGGACCTGATGGAGCTTGGGTAGGTATTCTGCCATCCCAGGAAGTCTCTGTGTTTTTATTTCTCCTCTCTAACACAGGTCACGAGCAGATACTTTTCCTGCAGTCTTTGTRTTGAAAGCCAGCACGGTAGGATAATGGCAAAACTGGTTGCTGAAGTAATTAATGCATGCCAAACCCACAACAGAAGGATTTGCTGCTTGTGGCTGTTGCTTCTTTGGGATAATATCTGTATTTTGTGAAGGTGTGATGCTGAACATGATCCTGCATTCAGCAGAGCTGCATCACAGCACCACACGAGGCCAATACAGTTCTGTTGGCCCCATTAGCATTAAATGCAACCACTCCAACATCAGCAATATACAGTGGAGGTGGTGAGGGGAAACAGGACCATTGAAAAGGTTTTTAATAGTTCTCTTCATGCTCTGTACTCAGCAGGAGAAGATTATAATTTTCTAACTTGAAAAACTACTGATACAAAGTTCTCAGAAATTATTTTACATGTCAAGTTCAGGCTCATCTAACTGACAGCAGGGGAACTGAAGCACTTGGAAAGCTCTTGTTGGTATGTGCTGGCTTCACAGAGCCAKTTACTAAAGGTCCCCAAGTGTCTTGGAAAGGCAGTTGAGAATCTACARCAGYATCTTTCTGGGGAKAAACCTGCTCAAACCAAARTCATGCACTGACATGYRTGGTGACATGTCTGGTGACACTTCCAGAGCCTCAAAAGGGTCCTGGTCCCCATCTGTCAGTTCTGATAGCTGCCAAACCTCAAGAAGCTTTGTTTTCTTGTATGGCTTTGCTTTGCTGCATTGAAACCAGCAGCAAAGCTTAATTTGAATGTAGAATTTACCTGTGTTGGGATGAAAGCCCAGACATTSCAGTGCAGGCATTGTCTCAGACACAATGCTCTGGTGGCAAATTCGTGAGTGGAAAAGGCACGTTCTGTTGGAAGGAACTCAGCAGAGCTTTTGTTTATAAAYAAACACATAGGAAGAGTCACAGAGCTTTTGTGAATTAAGTAGCTCACATCAACCCTCTGTCACAACTCAGTGCCACCAAGACATGCAGTCCCTGCAACAGGCACTGACTTAYTGTGTTGATTACCACTCAGTTGAGAAAAACCTAAAATTAGGCTGTGAAGGCTTCAGAAYAGAGACTGTGTTATCTTACAGCCACCTCTGTCCATGCAAAGGCAGGTGATCACTGAACAGCACAGGCCTCAGCCACATGAACAGTGAGCTGATTTATCAGTGTGTTCATTGGCACTGTCATGTTCCTGGAGGAGGGCAGGAAGATAACTCTTCTAATGAAATGCTCAGGTTTAGCTGCATTGTCCACATCCACGTGAAACTTCCTCTGTGAGTCGTTTCCCATAGAACTTGCTGTGTGTTCCCCATGTGGGATGGTGCTGTGGCCATAGGTGCTGAATAATTAAAGCTGATGCTAGCAAAGCACATGAAATCCACAGGAGGTGAAATGAGTTTAGCTGTAGAGAGAGAGGAAGAGAATTCAAAAGCATTGATCATTTTTCCTGGCYCTATCCACTCAACACTGCACACTAATGGCATTTTTAAAAACCTTTGCTGATGAAACATTTTACCAAATTCAATTAAGGAAAARCTGCTCTGCAAAGGTCTTTTAAAATCTACAAACTCTAGTTTCCTGAGTAAGTCTKTGACCACAGAGCAGGAAATCTTGTGCAATCACAGGGACCTTTGCTAAGAACAAGAGGAGTGAAATCTCTTCACAGTGTTGTAGGAAGAGCATCAGTGACARCAAGCTGAGAGGTGGTGTAGCTTTTTTAAAATCAGTTTGAGCCTTGGCAACAGGAAAGACTTTTAAAATAATGATAACTTACTATTAGTGTCAAAACTGTTATTAATGTTAATTTGCCTTATCACTGTTAGTTAGATGTTGCTTTTAATGTTGACATTAAAAGTACAGGAATCGTTATGGGCATGCTGGATTCCTAGATCAGTAATTTGCATGCCATTAATATGCTATTATTATTTCACAAATAATTATTATAATATACTTTATGCTAGCATCAATTTTCTAAAAGTAAGGGCCTTGTAACCCACAAAAAAATTGCCTGTTTGTGAAAGAGGTCAAAATGTCAGTTTTCAAACGCCTARATGTCTACAATTCATTGGCAGTTTTGCCCACCTGTGCAAAATGTGTCTGTTTTCTGCAAGAGAGTCACAGAGGGGTCAGAAACAATTAGTGTAGCATGAAAGTTCCCTGTGATGTGAGACAGGACCACCACACAGCCTGGCAYCAGATGTGTACAGAGGCACCTACAGTTGAGATGAGTGGAGAGCAGGATTTCTGTTCCAGTCTCCCTGAGAAATGTTCCTTTGGATGAGGTGTCCCTTCAAGGGGCTGTTTTTCCTTACTCAGTACACAGGGTCACTCAGGGAAGGTTGCCTTCCAGACAGCTGCATCACCCCAGAGATCAGCAGGGGCTCAGGTAAGACACATTSCAACTAGAACCTGGGGATGGTGTTTAGGTCACACTACCCATCTGCAGCCCAAACCTAAAATGGCCTTAGAAAAATCAGCAGCTCAAAAGCAGAACAAGAGTTCTGTAACATCAAGCTGGGCATTTGCTTTGTAAAGCAAWGGGGTATCAGCATTCAGGCAATAAAATTCAGAAACAAAAATATGCAAAATGTTTTTTCCCAGTAGTGAGTTTGTGAAATAACAAACCCTAAACTGGTTGGTATGCCTGAACTTGCTTGAATCAAGGCTTTGTAATTATTTCCTTACCTCTGGTAAAGGTCCACAGTCCATCCAGCCTTGTCTAACCCTCCAGCACTCCAAGGAAGCCATTAACACTTACCCTGTTCAAGGTRTGAGTGCATCAGCTTGTTCAAGAAACAAACTCTTCACTGAAATCAGGGACTTAGCAGRAAGGTGGGATTCCCTTTTCCATCCCTTTTGATGGCCTAAGGTACAGTCAAGGTACATTCCCTGCCACATGGGATGGTGCAGGACACTTGCATGTGCCCCAGCACTGGTACCACACCAACATGAAGCACCACTATGTCACAGAGTTGTTTGAAGTGACAGAAAGAAGTCAAAGTATTTTGATTAGCCACGAAAAAGATATTTCGTATCAAATATGTTTTTTAATTCTTGGGGATTATCTTCAGTGAGAGGGAGAAACAAGGCAACAGAACGTCGCATTTCTGTGATCTAAAAAGAAATTTTGCACCCCTACCATTGAATTGCAGACAGGCTCTGGGGATTTGCCAGCCCTAGTGACATCCTTGTAGCTCTCAGCCACAGAAATCCTCCTCCATCTGAATGCTTCCTGGCACTATTTTTCAGGAGCAAYCACCTTCTGCTAACTATTGAGATTTTAGGAGGTCTCAACTARTTTGGACCTAGCAGTAGTGCAGGGGTAGATTACACACCATGGGGTTTTATGCACAAGAGCCTTGGTAAGGGTAGCTCCAGATTCCACACTGCAGCAACAKCCAGGCTCTAAAASTAAGTCARTAAAGGCAAATGTGATAAAAGATGKAAATTAGGAGAGTGAGCTCACAGARGAAYAGCTAMGTTCAGTATTTGTGCTTGATTTTTAATCCTTGGGATGTAGCAAACACCCAGAAACCTGAGGGGGAAATCTGCATCTGCCTCTCTGCTAGCAGGGAGTACTGAGTTTCAAAGAGAGGGAGAAAGAGCAAGATTGGCAGGGGATGCTCTGTGGCTGGGATGAAGGTCAGCACAGAGAAATCACTGCAGAGGGAAGGGGAATGGGAACAAGATGAAGAACTTGGCTCAGATTGATGCCTTATCAATCAGGCTGATCTGAAAGAGAGGCCAGACAAACTTAAGAGAATGAGAATGGATTAAAGACACAACTTTAATCCAGGCCTAACAGGCCCCCTGGTACATTAGAGCAGACAAAGCCTCCTCCTGAGGCTACACCCACAATGGACACTGGGTCACGAGATCTTCACCTTTTATAAATTCTGTTTTATTAACACATTGGGTCTTAATTCTCCAATGATCTTTACAGGTGATGATGTCACCCACCCCAAACTTGCTCCCCCCAACTCACTGTTGTTTACATATTTTGGGGCTCTTGGGCAGTGAGGTGTCCTTGGATTCAGGCTCAGAGAGGAATTGTTTTGTTTAAAGATGAAAGAACAGTAGTTTTTAGTGCTGTACTAGGGAAGTACAAGAATACAGACGCATAAAAATAGAGAAACTAAAAATCCTAAGGCATCAAGATCAAGTATGCAGCTRCCCAAACAGGCAAACCCACACATTCTACACAATTATTTTCCTCTCAGAGCTGAGTGGCAACTTAACTTTGTTGGGGCTGGATCTTCCTTTCAGCCAAGCATCGCCTGTGAACCGACTGCCAGTACTTCAGCCGAGCTTGAGGCTTCTCGCTCCTCATCCCCAGGAGAAGCAGCAGGGCCCTCGGATTTGGCATTTTCCATGTGAAGCCTGCAGCAGCTGCACAGCACATGCCACATCTTCTGTAAGCCAGCGTGATGCAAGGCCACATTGCTGCTAATGAGTAGAGGCACTTGCCTTAGTGTAGCAGATTGCTTGACTGCAGAGGTGTCTCTTCCACTCCACCAGCTCTGGCAGGCCTCCACTCAGCTTTACAAAGCAAAAGTGACAATAAAGCTCCAAGCAGAATATAGAGCCTACAAGTGTTTTCTCTTTTCAACATTTCCGACATTCCTGCCCTTTTTTATGGGTTTGGGTTGTGCCTGCTCCAGGGAGCTGGGGAATTTGGCAGGCACTAGGCTGTCTTCCTTGGGAAGGGAAGGAGGAATAAAGGCTGGGAAACCCAGGAAACTCAGGAGGAGATAGGTGGTCCTTCCCAACGTTCTAGAAGGAAAAGGCCATGAGAAATAGTAACATTGACCTTCTGAGAAAAGAGTGTGACCGACGCAAACAAAATTACAAAGGGAGTCCCCCCAGTGTGGTTTGGACCCATACACAGTGTTCTCACAGTGGGGGTGGCCCAGCYAAGGTAAAAACTTGCATGTCAGGAGCAGGTTATGAGCACAGCAGAGGCAAATCAGCCTTTCTGCAGGGTTCCCTGCTCCCTCCTGGTGAGAGGCAGAGTGCAGCCCCTGCCTGCCCACAGCCTTCCCCTCTGTGCACTACTCAAAGAGCATCTTTTCACTTTGCTTTTGCAGAAGCAGATGTTCCAGGAACGAAGTGGCCGAATGCTSCAGGCTTTTTCTCCCCGGCAGAGCCCAAACAGCAGTCCTACGCGAGGCCGCTCGCCATCCCGTTCTCCATCTCCACCCTGGGTCATCAATAAGACCTCCCCTCCCTCTTCTCCAAAAGCTGCCTCTGCCTCCCTCAGCAGCATGAGCGAGGGAGATGAGGATGAAAAATAAAATATATATTTTTTTAACCATGAGACAGAAGAACAAGCTMTGAACTCAACCACTGGATGGGGAGAAGCGTGAGGAACACCAGGGGTATCTCTGACAGCAGGGATCGTGCTCTGGGAGAAGTCRAAAATGAACTGGAGCACAGCAAGGGAGATCTCAGGAAGAGCTTATCCCATCCCAACTCCCTCACGGTGCTGGAGGCCCAGCCCCGGGGACTGACAGAAAAAAACATCCACCTGCAAGTTCGTGCCCCTGTCTCGCTGCTTTCCAGCTCCTGCTCGGGACCCAGCACCCAGGGAAGCTGCAGCCTGCAGAGGGAGAAGATGCATTTGGACCCTGCTGACCTTGAGTGCTTCTGGCACCTGAAGGAAAGGCATTGCTACACCATAAGAAACAGGGAATAAAGTTGTTGTTTCCTTCCTTTTGAATAACATCTGTCTCAGAGTGCAAACCATGCACTGAAATGAAGAGCTYTCCAGGCAAGTTGGTGGAAATGCATTTAATATATTCAGTGCTGCTTGTTGACCAAGCCTTGTGTTGGGTGTATGTAAAGAGTTGGGCTTTTTGCTTTATCAAATCGCTCTCCTTGTTCCTAGTGCCTGAACAGCTGCCTGATCACTTCTGGTTTGCTCCCTGGCTTTGCACTTTGAAGGCAAGAAAGCAAATGAAAACTGTAGCTGGAATGTGGTGATGYAGGAAATAAGACAGTTTGAAGATGCTTTTTTACTGATGAATTCTAAAAAACACACCTGGGATCCCAAGGCCTTGGGATGTGGCCTCCTAGGAAAAGCTGCTGCTGCCAGCTGTGKATCAATGACAAGCACACAGTGCTGTTGTCACATGGGACTCAGCCAGTTAAACTCAGCAGACTCTAAACAAGGTGTGTTCAGAGACACTGCCCCTGCAGAGGATCCTGAGGCTATTCCTCTATGCTGATACAGAGGGAAAACATGGAAAAAACCAAAGGAAACTTTTTTGAACAGGATTAGGCACAATTTTTTTCTGCATCCATGACACCCATACAGCCYCAAGCAGAAATGCAGAGGGTAGCATGGGTGAAGCTCTCCCCTCAATGCTGCCTCTGTTTCACAGGYAACCTGCTGGGCACAGCCTCGGGCAGCCCAGGAATGGGGCTGCAGCCACAAAATCATTCTGTGCCACTGCTCTTGGAATTGCAAACCCACCAGGACACTCCAGCTGCTGTGGGCAGTGCCAGGCAGCACAGGAAACACTGGGGGAGGGAGGGCTCCACAGCACTCTTGGGGAAAAAAACTAGGGGACCAAGGTATCTGAGCATGTGGGATGGTTGTACTTGCTGGCAGCAGTGCCCCACCAGCTGCTGTCCTTACCTTGCTGGGTGACCTGGTTGGTTCTAAACTCCTTTCCAGATCCTCTTCTCAGCAGGACCTTGGTACCAGGCATCAAATTAGTCCCACACTGCTCATTCCCTACAGCTTTTATCCCTCTCTCACTACAAGGTAACAGATTATTCTTTGGGAACACATTACCAGACACTTCTCAGACTACCACAAGACCAAGTACACAGCATCTCGTGCCACACTTTGTTCTCTGGAGTCMAGCTAGTTCCTTCACAGAGCTGCAAAAACAGGTGAGCAGGAAATAGGGTGGAATGTGCAAAGGGACAGCCATAGCTGTGCGCCCGATGGGACGATGCAATTAAGACCTTTCTCAGCCTTAGGCAACCTGTTACTGTAATTTCATACCTGGGATGCACTTGTTAGTTTTTCTGATCCTTTGCAAGTCTTTAAGTCTTCCCATCACAAATCACTCCTCCACCATAGGGACTGCCTGCTTCTACTGGTGCTGTTGACAGATGAGMCATGTCCAAATGCAATGGAGGTGGGCAAGGATTTGTTGTTCTCAGCTTTTACTGTTGTTTTTTGTTCATTTTAGTTTCCTAGCACTTACTGTTCAGCAGCCCTTGTGCAGTGGTTTGAGTGGAGACAGCACCATGACTTGTAAATGGGAACTAGAGAAAAACTCAGCAGTGACCTAACAGAAGCCATTTCTCAGGGTCACAGGTGGCTACCCAGCAACAAAGCCATATTCTGTACCAGGTGTCTTGTTTGCATTTAGGATATTGATAAGCTGAAGCCTTTGCCTTGCTGGTACTTTCATGTGCTGTCTCCAGCAAACCAGAACCTCACGGTGTCTGGACACGTGGAAGGCAATTTTGCACTTCTGAGTCATGGTTGGGTTTTATTTTTCACAAGTGTTGCTTTAATTCAGTCCTATTTATCAGCCAAGCTCCACATGAAAAATAAAGTGTAAGACAGACACAGCTGCCTCTCCCCTTCATTTTACAGCATCTTTGGACACATGAACACAGCCTGCAGAAGAAACTCCCCTGATGGCACAGCTCCTGTTATCCCCATCCTTGGTACCCCAGGGCTTTATGTCCCCAACAGAGCCACAAGAGCAGCTCTGCCAACATGSCCAAAATGATTGAGTTCTGCTGCTCTCTGCACAGACAGGATCACCTCTCCTTGCCCTTACCTTGCAGCCAGAAAAATGTGGGTGAAGGTAGGAAAGATGCAGCCTTAGACACCAGCACATCTTCTGTACCTTCTTTACCCTCTGTCCCAGCACAGTGGAATCAGGAAACACTGTTTTAATTCTTCAAAGTGGAAGAAAGAGACCCTGCTTTTACAGCCATTCTGGTTCTGCTGCTGAAAACCATCCCCAGCAACAACTGAGATGCTCTTGTGGGTGCCAAGATGATGTGTGGCTGTGCCAGATTAATGGAAAACTACAGCAGCAAACATAAACCACAGGGACAAATCCTGACACTGCCTTTTGGACTTGACTCATCCTTGAGCTGAGTCAGTCTGGAATATTCCTGCTTTGCTCTTTCCCATTTGTCCTTTCTGTAAGAAATTAGTACCTGGAGCAGCTGTAAAGATTATTTATTCAAGAGTCCTGCTTCAGGCAGGGAGAAGCTGAACCAGTGAAATGAGGCTCAGGACATCCCAGCTAAGATACTTTTAATTAACCAGTGAATTTCAAAGTCATTGAGCATAGCAGAGACACTATTTAATGGCACAAAGTCCACACCAAAACACTCCMAGGTAATTGAAGATTTATTCCCTGAGATGGATTTGGGGCTGATTTCAGCAGTGTTTTGGTATCACTTGGTATCTCATATGGAACATCCCTGCGAGTGAACTCACAGTGTTCAGCCCAGCCTAGAGGGGATCCTTGTTTTGGTTTAGCAAACCCTTCAAGAACAAGGCAGCCCCCTGAACCAGGCCTACAGTTTGCCCTGAACAGTTTGGCACTACAGTAACTCTGCTTGTAGAAGGGTAATAAACCATCATGGAGTGTCTCCTGTGTGATAGCACATCATTAAGCAGCAGTTTCTCTGGAGTCTGGTACAGAGGAGTCCTGACCTTTTCATAAAACAGCTGAAAATGGGGCAGAAAATGGAGCCAGGGCTTTGCCTCTTGCATGGCAATCCCTTCAAGCACCAAACTATCTTAAGAACTCCTCCTCTGATTGGATTTTGGAGATTCTTTTTCTCTCAAAACACGTGTGTGTCCTGCACGTACAGATATTTTCTGTCCTTTTCTTTAAAAGGGGCAGGCCCTTTCCTGGTGGAAGGGCAGTATTAGCATTTGTAATCCAARTGGAAATCAAGGCCACTGCCTCATGGCTCTGCCTGAGGGAGAGGAGACAGACTGAAATAAAAATAACTGAAAGCCTCTGGACATGCACTTCCATTGTGCTAATTGAGGAATGTGGGACTGGACTCCAGCATCAACTGAGGTTTTCCCAGGACAAGTGCATTTTGCCAGATCTCCCTGCAGAATGCAGCAGGCTCCCATGTCACAGCCAGTTCTTCAAATATGAGACCTGAATTCCCTGCCCCAGCAGTTATTCATGGCCAGTTCAAACAGTTTTTTCACACCCTGTGTCTCCATCCCTTTTAGATACTCTCTCCAACAGCATCAATCACTGCTTCAATGAGGAGCAGGGAACTGCAAGTTCTGAGCCAGGTGAGGCAGTTCTGCCTTTCACACAAACACAATAAATTCATTTTTAAATGCTTACCTAGATTAATCAAGAAGAAAATGTTCCATTATCTCAAAACAATTATTCCTGTGCCTAAGCATGCCTAATCCTCCCTGGTGGCACTGACCAGGCTGMATGTGTGCATCAAGCCTCACACATAAAATTCTAGAAACAGCTCTGATAGAATAAATTATGTCCTCTTCAGCACATTGTGGTATTTTTTTAACCCTGTTCCTGTGATTCCCTAATCTTACTACTCTACAAACAAACACTGGTTTTCCATAAAATGAAGTGACTGTGAACTGCAAAAGCATCATTTGCTTAGTAGGAGCAGATTATTTATATATTAATTATAACCTGCACTTTACAAGTGACCAGCTCTGAATACTAACAGGAATTGTTATATTAATGTTCTACACAGCATAATGGGCTTCAGCTTTTTCATTTCAAAAYGAACACATTAACCAGTAGGGATCCAGTTACTTTGCTACTTGGCTGTACTTATCAGTTTAAAAGTTAATGAGCTTCATTTTTACCAGAGTCCTGAGCCTGCACTTCCATACTGTCATTAAAAGCCAAATGTTGAAACAAAACGGGAAACTCTCCCTTAGGGAAAATTTTCATTTGTTCTACTCATCCCCCTTGGTTATCTAAAAGGCCTCTCACAAATGAGTGCATTTATTCAAGAAAAGAACAAATCTAACGTTTTAAATATTCATATTCACAGCAAACAAAAAAAATATGCATAAAGCCATATCCTGAGTAAGAACTAAGAAATGCTCTCAGAATAGCTGTTTCAAACATAATCCAAATCAAACATAATCCAAACAGCATCACAAACCTTGGGTGGCTTTAATTTCCTTTTTCCTCCTCAAGAGGACCTTTTCTTCAAATCACAGCACAAACTTTTATTACAGACACAGAACATGAATAACTGTCAAAAAACACTAAGAAGCTCAAAGACTGTATCTTTTAAAGAAATGGAAGACAAAATAATGCTAATCAGTGTAATTGGAGGTACCTGCACATTCAGTAATTTCAGGAAAAGAATCCAGGGGCAGATCAAAACTGAAAATTGTTTTACAATGTTCAAAGATTGGCTCTAGCTGCACACTGGTAGAAGCACAGTGATATTCCTGGTGCCTTTAACTAGGGGAGTAGCCTGAGTTAAAGAAATAGAAAAAATTAAGCAAGTCACTAGGATGGAAAAGGACTTTGGGATTGCTGTGACAAGATTTCTAAATGGCTGATGCTCTTAGACAACACATAGCAGGCAGTATTTACTACACTCCATGTAACTCCTAGAGAAGATGGTACAACAGCTTAAAGTAAAAACAGCCTCTGAGTTAGAGCATGAATATAAACTGATCTGACATTAAAAAAGTTTAATTTTTCCTATCAAGCATGCCTGACATGTTTTGTATGTCTCACTTCATTTTAAAACTGTCTACTGCAAGACTTCTTTCCACTGAGAACAACAAATTGAAGTACTGAATAAGTCTACATCTAAAAAAGGCATGACTTGTATAAGAAGAAACAGATCCCTTATTACAAATTGTTCTCCCACATATGCCTGTGTCCTAAAGCAATAAATCTTCATTATACTGCTGCTGCAACTGTTTATTTTCTACAGGCAGCTACTGTCAAATATGTGGTACATGCTGACACATTTTGCAAATTTGAGCTACTTAATTAACTACTCAGCTCCTGTGAATACCCCATTATGGCAAATGGTAAAGCAGTGAGGAAGTACAACACATAGATTTCTTCTCAGCTGAAATTTCAAAATAAATTGTTCATCTGAAAGAAAATTATCTCAGTTCTAGCAAAATTCTGGCCATCTGGAGCCTCATTTATTACTTAATAAGAAAGTTAGCATGCCAAGCAGTATGTGCCCCCAGGCATTTTCCTGCTTTGGAATTGCTTGGTAAACTCTGGAATTATTTTCATTTTCTTGAATACCTTACAAATGCATATAAAACTGTATGGAAAGTTGAAGAAATTTCAAGGTAGAAGCCTTAGRTGTTACATATCTGTTTATAACAGGTATTTTGGCTGTCAAGAATAATCTGAGAATGAACTTTAGGGAGATTTGTATAGCAGAAAAAAACCCAAACCCAAAAGCTGCTCATATGCTAAAATTACTTGAGTGCAGCTCTCTGAGGATGTGAGAAATAGGCATGTGAGAAGCTGACCTTGGGCTGCCACATCACAAATTAAACTCCAGATTGTGTGAAACCAAACCAGTCCCTTGAAGATGTCAACATGTAGTTTTTACGTCATTTTATTTGTCAACCACAGAAAGAAAGAAGGAAAATAAGAGTATATACAAGTCAAATACATGGGCATTGGACTAGAAACATTACT